GATGTGTCCTTCAACGGGGGGAGCGGGTGTTGGCGATTGGAGAAGAGGAGAGGGGAAGGGACCATGGATTGGTGCGGATGTTTCTTCCTCTTGCTCAGGGCACACAGGGCAGTGCTCTTGCAGCTAAGCCGTCCTCCTCATTTTCCCCATTGACCCTTGCCCATCGCCGCCTTGGTCATACCGCCCCCACAACATTGCAACAGATGGCTCGGGGGAACAGTGTACTGGGCTTGGAGATTGGGGGGGGGAACACTGATTGTTCCCCATGTGAGCCCTGCTTATTGGGAAAGTCGGCTCGGAAGCCGTTTCCCCATGAGGCGTCTCGGGCACTTGGGCCTTTGGATGAGGTCCACATGGATTTGTGGGGGCCGGTGCGCACACCATCACTGGGAGGAGCGGTGTATGTCCTCAGTCTCATTGACGACTTCACCAGACGAGTTTGGTCGTTCCCCCTCCCCAACAAGGAATCGGCCATAGTTGCAAAAGTCCTTCTCCAGTGGCATAAGGACGTGGAGTTGGAGTGTGGGCGGAAGCTGAAGGCTGTTCGCTCGGACAGGGGTGGCGAGTTCTTGGGGGAAGCTGTAAAAGCATGGAAGGCGGAGTTTGGCATTAAAACTCAATTGAGCGTCGCAGATACACCGCAACAGAATGGGGTTGTGGAGAGGTGGCACAGGACGATGGCAGAGGGGATTCGCACATTGTTGGTCGACAGTGGTCTCCCTGCTCGCTTGTGGGGTGAAGCATTGATGTGGGTCGTGTGGGTTAAGAACAGGGTCACCCACAGTGCTTTGCCTGCCTCCATCACACCAATGGAGGCGTGGTCCGGCCAGAAGCCGCATGTGGGCATGGCTCGGATTTGGGGTTGCATGGGGAGTGTCATGTTGCATGGGCATGAGAAGGGTGGCAAGCTTGATGCACGGGCTGTCATGTGTGTCTGTGTTGGAGTGGACATGGAGAGCAAGGGTTGGCGCATGCTGGACCCTTCTATCATGCGCATTCGCATTGCTCGGGATGTTGATTTCCTTGAGAATGTGATGTGGAAGGATTGGGACAAGGCAAAGGAATTTGGGGAGCTTCTGCAGGATGCAGCTGCAATTTCCCAACTCCTCCCTCTTCCACTCTCGCCACCTTCAGCAACGGCTGACGGCGTTGAGATGCCACTTTCACCACTGCCACCGGCACCGCTGAGTCTGTCGGTGCAGCAGCAGCCCACCCCTCTGCAGCAGCTCAGTGGCCCCTCGGTCATTCAGCGGAGATCCGCTACACAGGCTACTTCCTCTTCCTCCTCCTCTGGTCAGCGCTCTATCCCTCTCTCTACGGGTGCCCCTCCGTCACCAGCGACTACCTCCCCACCACCGGTTACGGGTTTGCAGGTGCTTGGTATCCAGTCTAGTACAGGTGGTGAGGAGGTAGGGGGGGATGCTGGTGTGGTTGAGGGCATGCTATGTTTGGCCAGGGAGGTGGAAGGTGTTGCACTGGCAGGTGTGAGCACAAGTGATGTCCCACGCACACTCGCTGAGGCCCTGCGTGGCCCTGAGGGCCCTGCGTGGAAGGCAGGCGCTGAGAAGGAGGTAAATGCAATGCGCACTATGGGTGTATGGGATCCACAGCCGGTTGACTTACCTCCAGGTAAGAAGGCCATTGGGGTCCGGTACGTTTTCCGCAGGAAAACTGACAAGGAGGATAAGGTGGTACAGCACAAGGTTCGCCTTGTTGCTAAGGGGTACACTCAGGAGCCTGAGAAGGACTATGATCAGGTATTTGCCCCTGTGGGCAAGCTGACCTCAGGTCGGGTGCTTCTTGCAGAAGCCGCGGTAAAAGGGTGGCATGTACAACAGGAGGATGTTGATCATGCTTACCTCAATGCACTCCTTCAAGAGGAAGTGTATGTGAGGCAACCTGAGGGATTTGATGATGGTACAGGTAGGGTGCATCGCTTGCGCAAAGCTCTCTATGGGCTCAAGCAAGCGCCTCGTGCTTGGAATGAGGAGATTGGTACCACCTTGATTGCAGCAGGGTTTGACCGCAGTGCATGTGATGAGGCTCTGTACATCAGGTTTGTGGATGAAGAGCCAGTGTATGTATTGGTGTATGTGGATGACCTCTTGCTTGTGTCTCCACGCTTGGAGCTGATCGGTCAGGTCAAGGAGGTGCTTGCTCAGAGGTACCAGATGAAGGATCTAGGTGAGGTATCCATGTACCTTGGTGTGGAGGTTCGCAGGTCGGTCAAGGATGGGTGGTTGGAGATTGGTCAGGAGAAGTATGTCCGTGGTCTCCAGGGAAGGTTTGGTGATCTGCTGAAGGAGACCCATAGGGTGCATACTCCAATGTCACCCAATGATCTCTCTAAGATCAGGAATGGTACTTGGTCAACTGAGGAAGGTGTTGCAACTGATGTCAAGGTGTACCAGAGTCTCATTGGCAGCTTGATGTATGCTGCTGTGACCACCCGTCCTGACATGTCTTTCACTGTCAACACCCTTGCACAGTCCTGCGTGGCACCAAGACGCATTCACATGCGCGCTGCACTGAGAGCACTCAGGTACTTGGTCGACACAGCTGATCGTGTCATCAGGTATGAGCGCCAAGGTGGTGAGCAGGTTGTCGGGTACACAGACTCGGATTGGGGTGGTGAGACTGATGGCAAGAGTCGCTCTGCCTACATCTTTAAGCTGGGAGGAGGAGCAATCAGCTGGTATAGCAAAAAGCAAGACAGTGTTGCAGCAAGCGTTTCTGAAGCTGAGTACAAAGCTCTATCGGAGGGGGCCAAGGAGGCCATTTGGTTGAGGAGTCTGTTGGCAGAGATGCATGTGGGGGATGGGGGGGCTATTCCATTGCTCTGTGATAATGAGGCAGCTGTCTCCCTTGCCCACAATCCCGTTCTCCATCAGCGCACCAAGCACATTAAGGTGGCATGGCACTTTGTACGGGATGCGGTGCGCCAGCAGGAGGTCGAGGTGCACTCAGTACGCTCCCACCTCCAGGATGCCGACATGCTCACCAAAGCTCTTCCAAGCTTGCAGCTGCATGAGAACCTGGAGCGCATCGGCATGCGAGTGATTGCTGCGAAGGCCAAGGCTTCATTCGCTGGAGGGGTTGTATTTTGATTTATGGATGAACTTTAATGCTTATTGGAGCAAGGGGGGGTGTTGGAATTAAGGTTAATTCGGGTTGCTTCAATAAACATATGTAGTGGTACATCTACACTATGGTAGTGTAGAATACATTGGTTGGGTTGGGAGAACTTGTGGTGTACACTCTTTAGAGTGGACCACCTCCCAAACCCTATAGGTTAGGGTTCTCTCTTGTTGGTATTTCACTTTTGGAAACCACTTTGGTTCTAGCATGGTTCATGCCCAAGTGGGCTCCTAGGATTCCTAGGCTTTAGGAGGAGGTTCTATGACTACTAAAGCTTCCGCTAGTATCTTAGTCCATTCTAATAGTTTCCAGCGCCCATCTTCCCCCCCCCCCCCCCCCCCCCCCCTCCCAACGATGTGCTGTCAGTCAGTCATCTTCACGCCGTTTCGCTTCTTTCTCCTGCAATCGCTCGCCTCGAGCGAGTCAAACGAAGTAGAAACGGATTTGGACTCGCTGCAAAAGGGAAATCGTTACTGTATTAATTAGGATTTAACTGTAGAATTATTGATGCGCTTATAATAAGTCAAGGTTTTACAAGGGGTGCGCTTATAATCGAGGATCGGCCATAAGCGCATTGCTCCAGATATAAGCGCATGCGCTTAACATAGGCCTGCGCTTATATCCGGGGTGATACGGTATATGTGTTTAGGTGTTTTCATTTTGTAAATTTTTTTTATATATATTGTAATTGAAAACATACACCGATGATACAAGTGCATGCTAACAAAAACAGTCGTAACGGCGCGTGAGGGGCAGGGCCTTCTGCCCCAGATGGCTTCTAAGGGGGATGATGAATCATGCGTGGGTTGGTCCAAATTGTCTTAAAGGACCTGACCCACGTCAGCTTCTTATCTCCAGATGTCTTAATCCGATCCAACAGCTTTTGCTCCTCCGCCATCCACCGTTGTATTTTGTCCTTATGGCCAGCTCTCTTCCTTTTCCGACACGTCACGTCCCTCGCCTTGATGTAGACCCTCACATGCAGCCTAAACGCGAAAATAATCCGCCTCAGCACTCGGCGCGTTCTGAACTTTCCCCGGAAAACCGCGTCACATCTCTCCAACCAAAGCTGGTGTAACGAGATGGCAATCAATGTCGCTTCTGGGAAGGCTGAGCTGGATCCCGCCTTCTGGAACAGCAAGTCCCCCATATTGGACACTGTGCACTGTGGATTGATCAACCACAGTGCCCGCTTCAGAGCCGATACCACCGACTGGATTTTAGGGCAGGTGAAAAGGCAGTGCTCCAGTGTCTCCTCCTCGGAGCAGTGCGGTTATACAGGCTTGCTGCTGAGAAACGCCAGCCTTTCCCCGACTTGAAGATTGAAATTATGGATTCGGGTAAGCATGTCTCTTGGTCTACTTGGTGTGACGAGAGACTCTCTGATGCCCGTCGCTTTGTTCCGGTTAATTCGCCCCCGCCATTGTTCCGCCCATTTCAGCCTTCTGTGCGACTGCAGCTTTTCCCCTTTCCAGAAACTCTTCATCTTTGCAAGGGGGATCACCTTCCCGTCCTCGAACAGGGGGACATGCGGAAGCTTTTGCGCTGCTGTAGGCACCGAGCCAGCCGAGCACCCGCCAGGGGTCAGCAGAGTCTCCTTCCATTCTATTGGGGCCATCTCGAGAGCTTTCAGCGCCAGCCTAGCCGGACCTTTGTCCCCCAGCTCCTCTGTCAGCTCCTCCATGGATTTTTTCGCCCAGCTTCCATCAGGTAACTGCTTCACCAGATCACCTAGTCGGGTCTCCCACAACACCTTCGCGTGTTTTTGTCCTCCCACCGGCGCAACCACTCCGACTAGAATTTTCCTGTTGAAAACCAGCCTCTCTTGCCCCACCGCCTCTCTTGTAAGTGGCACCGTCCGTTCAGAGGGGCGACTTCATGAAAGCCTCACACGTTTGTTTCCAGCTCTGACTCCTCCCTTCCCAATTCTTCAGGAGCTTGTCGTGCGATATGAAGGTGTCAAGTCCTAGCGGAAGATCAGCTGCCTTCAGCATCAGCTCCCGTTTGAGCTCATCAGCTTCCGTCATCAAAAGACCCACTCTTCTGGCCGACAAACACTCCAACAGAACGTTGGGATCCTGAACTCCAAGTCCCCCCCCTTTCCGCGGCGTGTAGAGCAGCTCCTTGCTCCACAACACAAAGTCTTTCGCTGGGGTAGCTTTATTCCCAGAGACGAAGTTGTACAGAAGCCTCTCCGTCTCGGCCCATATTTCCTTTGGGGGAGGATACACCAGCGCTTGAAAAGCGATCATTGGCGAGATGTAGCAATTTGACACCGTCGTCCGCGCCTTTTCTGTGAGGTATTTTTGCCGCCAACCGGTCAGCTTCTTTGTTACTCCCCCAAGCGTCTTTTCCCATGTTGGCAGGCAACTGCCGTCCGGCGTAACCCACACTCCCAGGAGACGTTCTGCATCCTTCGGCCCGGCCCATTTGAAGGATCCCTCTGACGGCATTCCTAGGTTTGCTCCCAACGACAGCACCACCGATTTCTCTTTGTTGGTTGCCAGCCCGGATTTCTTCTCAAACTCCTCTAACACCTCCTCGGCCTCCTTGATCTGCTGCTTTCCCTCCAGGATCAAGGTGGTGTCGTCGGCATACCCCAGGTACGACAAGCGTTTCCCTGATGCAGTGTCGCACAACCCCAGCTGCTTCCTCTCCACTTCTTGCACCAATGGCTCGACCGCACACAGGAAGAGGTAAGGTGCTAACGGACAACCTTGCCTCACACCCGATTCCACGCCAATTCCTTCTCCCAACCACCCGTTGATTAGCATCCGCGTCGTCGTCTGTGCGTGCAGCCCTTCAACCCAGCCAACGAAACGGACTGGGAGGCCCATCTTCCTTAGGACCTGGAAGATAAAACTCCTTGAGACCGAGTCGAACGCCTTTTGAAAGTCGACGAGCAGCAAATGCCAGTCCTTGTTTCCATTTTTCGCCGCATCAATGATATCGGCAACCAGAGCAACCGCGTCAGTGAGCTTGCGTCCGGGTATGAAATCGTATTGCTCAGGAGAGATCACCTTGTGCAGCACCTTTTTCAATCTGTCCGCCAGCACTTTCGCCTGAATTTTGAAGGTGAAATTGAGCAGAGTGATAGGACGGTAGTTTCCCAGCTGATTCTTCTCCCCCTTCTTGTGCATAAGAATTGTCACCGCCCCTTTCGTTTCAGCGGGAAGCTTTGCAGTTGCGGTGAAGTCCTTGACCAGCGACATGAAACTTCCCCCCAGCAGATCCCAGTTGTTTTCAAAGAGCTCTTTTGGTAACCCGTCCAGCCCCGGCGATTTGTTTTTCGCCATGTCTTTGAAAGCCGCTTTGACCTCTTCCTCTGTCCTATCCGCTTCCAGCCCCCCAGCTTCCGCACGACCGAGGTAACGTTCCGGGATTGGAGACCAATCACTGAAGTCTGTTCTTCGATCCGCTCCGAAAATCGCCCTGAAGAAGTCTGAGGCCGCCGAGAGAAAACGTTTTGAGTCAGCAACCGGACCTCCCGCGACATTCAGTTCCAGAATCTGCGTGCGGCTTCTCCTCGCCTTCAACTGCCTCGAGAGCTGCTTCCCGGAAATCTCCCCCGACATTTCCGCATCCAGGCCTGCCATCAGGTGACGCCGATCCCTTCTCGTCGCCTGATACTCTTTGAGTTGCCCTTCCTTTTCATCCAGCAGTGCCTTCCTCCGGTCACAGCTGGGGTTCCCCAGCACCTCCTGCCTGAGCCTTTCCACAGATCCCCGCAGGTGAGCAAAAGTCGCACGGACACGCTTCCGCTCTTCCCTTGCGTAAGCCCTGAGTCCTGCATTGAGCCTAGCGATGAGAAGCTCATAGCTGGCTCCGTCTGTTACCGCTGTACCTTGCAGTGTCTGTTCTATTACCCGTCGCACCCCTGGTCTGTTCATCAGCGATGCATGAATTCTCGAGATACCTGGACCTGTGTGAACCTTGGCGTCTTCCCTGATGGCTACCTGAATCGCGAAGAGGTGATCAGAGACACGCTCGGCAGGTGAGACATGCGAGACATCGTCCAAAAAAGGAAGTAGTGAGAGAGATACCAGTGCTCTGTCTATTCTAGAGCTGGCTTTCTGTGCGTGCGAGTAAAAGGTGTATTCTAGTCGACGGGGGTAAAGAGTTCTGAAGGCGTCTGAGAGCTGGAACGAGCCACATCTAGTAAGAAGTCTGTCGTTGTCCTTCGCATGACCACAGCCTGAGGTTCTGTCTAATGCCGGGTCTTCTATCATGTTCAAGTCTCCTATCAGCAATTAGGTGTGCGGTTGGGTCTACCTGATCTACCATGGGGCCAAGGTCATTGGCTACGAAGGCATTTCTCACGCCTATGTCCAGAGGAAGGTAAACCGCAAACAAGGTAAACTGTATACCAGGGCCGTTGACCTCGGATCTAATGATTCTACCTGATGGGTGAGAGCGGGTGTTAAGAAAGGCGAGAGCGGGGTTGCGGCTGAGGACAGCGACACCACCGGCTTTGGCTATGGGAGAGGTGGCCGCTACCGTGGAGAACTATGGTGAAGACCAGTAAGTGTGAGAGGAGCCTAGTCTGGTGTCACTAGAATAGCGATTCCGTCTGCGTCTCTGATCCAGTCAGTTACTCGTTCTTGCTTTGCGCTGTCTCCCAGGCCGTTAACATTGAGACACGCGCAGGTGAGAATGTTGTTCTTGTTACTCATTTGACCACCGCTTGGCAGCCTTTATTCATCCACAGGCTGAGGAAAGCTACTGAACAGGCTACACGTCACTAGGCACGCTCCGGTCGCAATGTCAAACAGCATCGTCAGATTCCGTACTCCTTCTTTATGACCGTCAGGCTGGTCTTTTCCAGTGACACTTTGGTTGCAGATCCCAGCTCCCCCAGGTGAGTAAGGTAAGCAGCAGATGCGATATGGTCTTTTGCAGACGCAAAACTCTTGCCGTGGGCTTTCTTGCAGTTGGCTTGCGTGCACAGCCACTCCTCCCGGTTTGTCCCCGTTGAAATCAGTGCCAGAGCAGGGTCGCGAAGAAGGGGGAGGACTAACGGGTCCGTTCTCAACGATGTAGCTGCGCGGATCAAGCACACCGTCAATAAAATTGAGTCTGAGAGAAAGGTAAGCAGTTGTGGATAAAATCGAGAAGTCATTATCGTTGAGCCTGTGAGCCTTCCCTAGGGTCAAGTTCCATTTCCCCACATTGTTCTGTCTATCAACGGCGAAAACATTATGATACTTATCATAATGTTGACCTCCGCAGAGAGTGCAGGACAACGAGGGGTAGTGAACCAAGATCCTTCTCGCACGGTCGGCCGGGTCAGACACCGGGTGAATCCAACGATGCTGATCGCCAGGATGAGCGTACACCAGTCCCTTGACAACATCGGTATCCGCTCCAGTCACCGGATGCAACACGCGGTGGAAGCAGGATGCGCGTAAGAAGGCCGGACGCTTCCGATTCGCCAAGTTGTAAGTCACGAAACGCTCGATCAGCAGGTCAATCTCGATCGTCGCCGAAACATCCTTGAGGACGACTTCAATCGCTTGAGGGTAGAGCGCTTTCTCCCTCAGAAACTCCTTGTTGTCGGTGAAAAGCCAGTGTAGCTTCACCAATGAGCCGTTAAGGCGCTGATAAACCACCTCTTTGCTCCTCACACATTCTGCATCATCATCCAGGGAGAAGGAGATCTGAAGACGGCAGTAGAGGACCTTCGCGATGTAGATCGGGTTCAGAACCTGGAACTTTGCCGTGAGCAGCACATGGGCCGAGAGCTCTGCATTCCACCCACGCTTCATCAGCATTTTAACAGCATCGATAACACAAGCAACCTCTTGAGCAAGAATAAAGGGGAGTAACAGGATAATGGTGGTACGCAGCCTGGTTGCAGCTTCTTCCTCCAGACTAATCTCCATGTCGTCGTTAGAGTCCTCATCAATGAATCCGCCTTCATCAATGATAACCGCCGGCTTTCCTTGTGTCCCGTTGTCCTTTGCCTTGTCTTTCACAGATAAGCCGGAACCACCAGCAACAGCATTGACGACGGTTGTCGACTCAGTGACTTCACCATTCCCTCCCAACGACTTGTTCAAGAGCAGGAGGAAGAGTGTCAGAAGAAGCAGGCGAGTCAGACATCGCCTTGGAGCGGGAGCCTTTCGGGTGCGCCATGGTGCAATGATGACGACGAGGCCAAGAAAAGGTGCAATGAGCACAATCTGAAGCCCAGCCAGGCTGTTGATATGGCCGAAGTCTGAGCATTTCATTGTTAAATAGTAAAGGTGGCTTAAGGAGCTCCTGCTGATAGTGCTGAGTTCCCGAAGTTAACACCTTGAGAGCAGCGCGAGGATTAGAAATGATAGAGATGGTAGTGTTGTTAGCACTCGAGAATAGATAAACGCCATTGTCAATGAGTCGAAGCCTTTGATGTCGTAACCTTGATGTTGCCTGACAGACCCCTGGGATGATCATCTTATAACAGGATGAGCCAATGTCAGCATAAATGACAGGTCTCCCGTGTTGGGAACAAACAATCTTAAGCGCCTTTGTCGTGTCAAAACACCAAGACACAAGCGAAGCAGCGCATATGGAGGCACCAGCGAGTCAACCCTCGGAGGTTGATGTAACCGCTGGAGGTTACGTGAAAGTCAAAGGTCAGCGACCTTTGACCTGACAAATGCAGCGCGACAGCAAGGACACACAACTGACTCGACATTGAGCAGTTGCCCGAGTCGCACTGTATCGAACCGCAACAGTAAAGTAGTTATAATGTCTCTTCATATTCTCTGTATTCATATATATATCCTTGTATCTCTTTGCTTTAATCAACTTACTTTGCCCTCACATACTAGCGCAAGGTGGTTCAAATACCTTACTTAAAACGCTTCCGCTACTACATCACTTTACTCAGACTTTAACTCTACCAAAGATCCTAAAGGGCACTCAGCCCAACATGGTATGAGAGCAGGTTAGAGTTAAATCATTTCTCCTCATTACTTAATACACCAAGAGATATGTCTACTAGAAAGGAGAGGAGCTCCTCCAACGGCTCTCCTGGTACTACTCCTACTCCACCTCCTGCCTCTGGCCTGCAGACAGAGGAAGGGACAACAACGAGACCATCAGCTGGGTCTACTGAAACACCCGCAAACCAAGGCGTGGGCTTCGATCCAAGCATGATGGAGAAATTCTTCTCCTTCATGTCCTTCTACGAGCAGCATCAGCAAGGAGGACATGTGCAATCAAACAACAGCAACAACAACAACAACGTGACGCCCATGAGTCTCGATGGCTCATCCTACGCACGCAGGAATCAACAACAACAACCTACCTTCGCTCCGTACGAGCCTCAGCGCGGCTCCGTCAGCTTCATGCCACAACCACAACCTGCACCGGGACAAGAGAGAACGTTGGACGCACTACAAGTTCAGTCGCAGTTTGCGCACGTTCTAAAACTGCAAACGACAAAACCCTTCGACGGGAAGGACTTCTTCACCTGGTCATTCGAATTTGAACTGATGATGGAAGGAGCGCTAATCCTCGGCTTCTTCGACGGGTGCCTGCCATACCCAACAAACGGCACACAGTATGAGAAGCAGCAGTACACCTATCAATCAATGATGGCGTACACGATACTGCTGAGGAACATCACTCCATCTCAACAACAAAACATTCGGTCTTACCGAGGCTACGGCAACTCCGCGGAGCTCGCGTACAATCACTTGAAGACCCTGTATCAAGCAACAGACAGCGTATGACAAAATTAGAAGAAAGAAAGAGGGGAATGAACTAGCAGAAATGGGGATACAAATAGCAAACCCTAGAAGGGTTGTACTCGCTATAGAGCACCCCACTACAGGCTAGAACATAAGAATAATATTCTGACACACCCCCATAGCCAAAGTGGGGTGTAATCAGCAGAGCAGGCAAAACAGTACAAGCTCAGGGTGGATCACAATGTCACCACGCATTCTGAGCACAAGGTCAAGAAGAAATAGTTCAAAGTTAACAATTATGAGCAAAGCTAGCAGTGGTCACAACGGGCAAGTGAGGAGGAGGAGGGAGAGTGAGAGGAGAGGAGATAGAAGGCGGCGGCTGAAGCTGCAGACACACGGGCAACAGGAGTGGCGAGCACAGTGGCTACCGGGACAGCGCCCCGGACTACGGGAGTAACAGGCCCCGCGGCTCAAGTAGCGGCAGACGGGCAACGGACCCACAGGCGACCGGCTCAGCGACAAGCTCACTGGGCTACCGGGACAGCGCCCCGGACTACAGGTGCTGCGGACGACAAACTGGCAACCTCCGCTCAACCTCCCACACACAGTCCCACCCCCCTCATACACACCCACTGCTACACCGCTAGCTCCACTCCCACGCACCCCTCTTAAACCCTAAACCCAGTCTCCCACACAACCACCCCCCTCAGCGACAGCTGCAGCAGTGGGAGACGAAGGAGGAGGAGGAGAAAGGGAGGAAGGCACACCGGCCACCCCCATACCCGCCACCCCACAGCTCGCGGCCCCCGAAGGAGCCGCGACGGGCGACGGGAAATGGGGGGGAGGGGAGAAAGGGGGGGGGGGGGGACGGGGCCGGGACCGCGACGAGGGGCGGGGCCGCGACGGTCGGGGCGGGGCCGCGACATAGGGCGGGGCCGCGACGTAGGGCGGGGCCGCGAAGGTAGGGCGGGGCCGAGCCGGGCAGGCGCACGGGCGGCGACGGGCCGGGGCGGGGCCGCGACGAAGGGCGGGGCCGAGCCGGGCAGGCACACGGGCGGCGACGGGCCGGGGCGGGGCCGCGACGTAGAGCGGGGCCGCGTCGAGGGGCGGGGCCGCGACGATCGGGGCGGGGCCGCGACGTAGGGGAGAAGCCCGCCGCGCGCCTCGGGGCGCACAGCGGGCAATGAACCGCCGCGCGCCTCGGGGCGCACGGCGGGCAGAAAACCGCCGCGCGCCTCGGGGCGCACGGCGGGAAGAAAACCGCCGCGCGCCTCGGGGCGCACGGCGGGAAGGAAAACCGCCGCGCGCCTCGGGGCGCACGGCGGGAAGGGAAAGGTAGCAGCGGAAGCGAGGTGGTAACCCACCCACAGGATCGATCCAAAGGGATCGACCTGCTCTGATAGCATGACAAAATTAGAAGAAAGAAAGAGGGGAATGAACTAGCAGAAATGGGGATACAAATAGCAAACCCTAGAAGGGTTGTACTCGCTATAGAGCACCCCACTACAGGCTAGAACATAAGAATAATATTCTGACAGCGTAAACCAAAGTCGGTTAATGGCGCAGCTAACTACCATCGAAATGAAATCGGGCGAGAAGGGAATGGCGTATATCAACCGCTGCCGCGAGCTGCGCGACAAGCTTCTTCGATGTGGAGGATCGATTTCAGAGTACGCCTTCGTCACGGTTGTCATCGGCGCTCTTGGTCCTCACTGGCGCTCCACTCGCGCCATACTACGAGCCCACGGGAAAATCTCTGAAGCGGCACTTTGCGCCGAAATCCACGCCGAACAGCAAGACATGGACCTGCAAGAAGAACGACAAAGGAGAAAGGTGTCAGTGCCCGAATTCGCGTTTCACACTCAACGGCGCTACAACAACAACAATCGACCGAAATTCATACCTCCGTTCTGCCACCTCTGCAAGACTTCAGGGCATCCTCGTACGCACTGCCCAAATCGACAACGCCAACTTCGCCCTTCAAGCAGTCAAGTCACTTCAACGCAAGCAAACCCGACAACTTCAGTCCACGTCTCAACAACATCAACGGGACAACCTGCAAACGAAACAAGAAACATCGTCAGCTGCATGGCAAGGCTGAGTGACTCCTGCACAACTGAGTCACCACCATATTACTAACTAGAAGAACAACTCGACAATAGTACGCCTCGCCTCGAGTCACTTCAACCAAACCCGACGTACGCCGCCATCGCCCAAAGCGAGCCGTCCGGAAAGGATACATGGTTCTTGGACAGTTGCTGCAGACAACACATGTGTTTCTCAGGACGTTTCGTTCAACGCGAGCACCAACTTCAACGAGAAGTCGTCATCACTGTCGCCAATAACCAGAACCTGCGCACACGACGGCAAGGGGTAGTGCAACTTCAGTCACGAGAGACGAATGTCGTACTGCAAATGTCAAAAGTCCTGATAGCAGAAGGACTTGGTTACAACTTACTGAGCGTCAGTCAGTTGATGGCGAAAGGCATACATCTGGAAGCCGACAGTACCACCCAGGAGTTCAAACTGTACCACGGGAAGGGCGGCCTCTACATCGGAAAGGCGATTCTGAAGAACAATGTCTTCGTCCTCGACTTCGTCCCAGACCTGGGCACCGCAGACAGTGACGGGATCGTCACCTTCACATCCTGGACGCACCCGCCGGATCTCGACCCCGACTTCAGTCCGGAAGGCTTCTAGTATTCACATACCATTCATGAAGCAGAACGAACACGTGCGTTAGTAACAATACAATATTCGGCAGCAGCAGAGACAACATCGGCAGCAGCAGAAGCAGCAGCAGAGACAACATCGCCAGCAGCAGAAACATCGTCGGCAGCAGTAGGAACAACGACACCAGTCCTCGTTGACGAAGCAACACCAACACCCGCACGGCAGCTGAATCCGACTCAACGAGAAGTCCACAGAAGCGCAAACTTCATCGCCAGCTTCTACTCCAACTCCGACGCGTATCAACGCTCACCCGGACACCGCGCCTCCGAAGATATCTGGCACGCACGCATGGGACACCCAAGCAACACTGTGTTAAACAACACAATAAGAGCAGGAGTCCTTGACAAGGACTC